ATGGACAGGGAGGCCTGACATGCTGCAGTTCATGGGATTGCAAAGAGTCAGACACAACGAGCGACTGAACTGAACTGAAACTACATGTAATTATGACTGGTCATACTTTAAGCTCATAAATAAACACAGGAACTTCAAACAACACACAATGTATTCACATTTGAAAATTTTACCAGTAGCATATAAGACAGGTAATTTTTTTGGTTGAAAATACATGTTAATATGAAGCAAAAAAATAATCACCTTTAATCTTTTCTTCTTTTTAGGCCAGGTCATGCAGCTTGCAGAATTTTTGTTCCTTAACCAGGGATCTAATCTGAGAGCCTGGTAGTCAGAGGGTTGAGTAACAACCATTGGACCACAAGAGAATTCCCTGAAATTTCTTTCTACTGGAATTATTTCTATATTTCTCAACATAGTTGATGGAATCACCACCTAGAATCATATTTAACTCTTCCTCTCTGTATTAATTTTCTAAGGCTGCCATAACAAAGTACACAAACTAGATAGCTTAAAACAACAGTAATTTATTATCTCACAGTTCTGGAGCCCAGTAGTCCAAACTGAGGTGTTAGTAGAACCACACTCCCTCTGAAGCCTGTAGGGGAATCCTTCCTTGTCTATTCCTAATTTCTGGTGGTTTCCCAGCAATCTTTGGTATTCCTTGGCTTGTAGATGTATCACTCCAATCCTCTATCTTCACATGGTGTTCTCCGAGTCTCTGTCTTCACATAGTAATCTTATTAAGGACCACATATAGGGGCCCACCCTTCTCCAGTATGATCTCATCTTAACGAACTACATTTGAGATGATCCTATTTCCAAATAAGGTCATATTCTGAGGTGCAGGGGGTTAGGATTTAATGCTTCTTTTTCAAAAAAACACACTTCAACCAATAACACCTTTCCCTCACTAAAAAATCAGATAAGTCATGAATCATTAATCTGGTTAATCAGCACAAAATCTCCTTAACATCTTTCAAATCAATGTTTTCTCTACTCCACGAGACACTCCACAATCTCCACTCTCCTCCTTTACACACACACACACCTGTTCTCACTCCATTCTGTCACACACACACACACACACACCTGTTCTCACCCCATTCTGTCACACACACACACACACACACACACACACACACACCTGTTCTCACCCCATTCTGTCACACACACACACACACACCTGTTCTCACTCCATTCTGTCACACACACACACACCCCTGTTCTTACTCCATTCTCACTGTCACACACACACACAGCTGTTCTCACTCCATTCTGTCATACACACACACACACACCTGTTCTCACTCCATTCTGTTACACACACACACACCTGTTCTCACTCCATTCTGTCACACACACACCTGTTCTCACTCCATTGTCACATACACACACACACCCCTGTTCTCACTCCATTCTCACTGTCACGCACACACCCACACACTTGTTCTCACTCCATCCTGTCACACACACACACACACACACACACACACCTGTTCTCACTCCATTCTCACTGTTTCTACTCTTAATCATCAATTCTCTTCTGCACTAAAGTTTCTTAAACTATCTCATCTTTTTGGTTTCAACCACACATCTCCATACCATTTATGCTATCACCCAGATGATCTTTCAAAAGAAAAATCTAATCATGTTACTCCTCTATCACCACCATCCTCTTCTACTCTCCAGGAAACTCTTTTGTCATCTAAAGGAGAAACTATATAAAGCACCTTCTTCAAACTTTTGCCACTCTCATATGCATTCTATCCCCCAGATAAACCAAACTGCTTCTGGTGTCACATCTTTTTGCTTTTACACTTGGTGATCCTTAACTAAAATGCTCTCTGTTCCTGAGCACTTGACATATTTTACTACCCTTAAACCCCCTTGAGCCACAAAGAATTGCAAACATTTTTTGGTGCTATTAGCCTTCTTATTTTCCTCTACTGTTGTACTTACCACACGGTGTTCCAACCCTTCCATGTGTGCTTTTCTTCTCTTGACTGCACCTGAAGTCTACCTCACGGTCAGACATCTTTTGTGCACCTAGCGCACAGCATGTTGTCTGTTCCATAGTAAATATTATTGAATTAGATTTTTCAGTAGTTTTTTTCTTTTTACAGTAAGACTTACTCTGAAACTTTCGCTTGAAGGGAAACATTTAATGTGCTACTAAGAGAAGTTTAAAAAAAAAGCAGATAAAAAATAATTTTGGAAAAAGAGTATTAAAAAGCACTTCTTGTGAAAGAATGATCAGAATAACTTTAAAATATCTTATGCATTACTCATTTCACATCTATTAGAATGGCTAATATTTTTTAAAAAACTGACAAGTGCTAAAGAACATGTAGGACAACTGAACTTCTCATACATGGCTGATAAGAATGCAAAATGGTATAAACCCTCTCGGAAAAAGTTTAGCAGCTTCTCATGAAGTTAAATATATGCTTACAATATGACAGAGCCAGTCAACTAAATTAAGTAAATTTTAATAAATTAAAACTTAACATTCATACAAAAATCTGTATCCAAATGTTCATAACAGCTTCATTCATAATTGTCAAAAACAAAATGCCTAAATGTCCTTCAGTGAGTGAGTGAATAAACCATGGTACATAGTCAATACAAACAATGGAATACTAGCTAGCAATGGATACATTCTAAAGTACATGATGCTCACTAAAAGAAGCCAGTCTCCAAAGGTCACATGCTACCTGATTGGTAAAAACAAAATTATAGGGAAGAAATCCTTAACCATTCCCACTGAAGACAGAGGTCAGGGAAGAATTTGGCCACAAAGGGCTAGTACTGAGGAAATCATCTGGTAGTAACTGAACTGTTCTGTATCTTGATTGTGGTAGTGGTTCCACAAATCCATAAATGTGCCAAAATTCATAAAATAATAGACTAAAATGAAATTTTAATTTTATTGTATGTAAATTAAAAAATAAACAAATATACATATTACTTCCCAGGCATGAGGGTTAGCTGCCTTTTTTTCTCTACTCCCATGTACCTTAGCCCTAGACTTGAGAAAGATTAATTTATGTGAGGAGAAAGGTGGAGCAGACTAAAAGAATGGCTTTGAGGTGGATTATCAAGGAGTTTGCTACAACATTATGAATATTTATCTTAAAAGACTGGATTATGAGATAATGATCTATAATTTTAGAGAAAGACAAAGGCGAAGAGGTACTAAAGAGGAGAGCAAATAGACCTGAAAATTAAAGAATGGATCGCCTCCCTACCTTTCACCTCTGTCCTATAGTACCATGACTTAATAATTCTATCTTCATCTGACTTGCTTTTTCATGTGCTTCTGCTACACACAAAATGACTGAAGAAAAAGCAATTTAATTTTAAGAAGATATAAACCCATTTTTATTTCAGTACTTCAAATCTAAAATAAAACGGATTAATCAGTTGGCTACAGTTTTTGCATCAAAAGCTCTAAATGATGAACAATTTCTTAAAAGTCTGGTGGAATTTAATTTGGCATTAAATGTAAAGGGAAGCTAATACATCTGAGGAAATGATATCTAGCATATTTAGTAGTTTGCACTTGTCTCTGCTGCCTGCTTTTCTTCCACAGCCCTGCTCCCCTTCTGACTTTTATTGCTTCCTCCTTTTCTTCCCTGCCCTCCTAAACAGTGTATGATGCCCTTTAGCTCCTCAATGCCTCCTAGAAACTTGCCACAAGTCTAAATTATCTACCTGCTTTTAGGAATGACCACACAAAATACAATTCATCTCAAAGGCTGTGAATTAAAATGTGGCTAATAGTCAAATTCAAATACTGTGGAGCTCTATTTATAAAACATGATAATAGGAAATATAAGTAGTCTAAAAGGACATTTAACATATATCTAATGTAAGTACTAACACTAACTTACAGTAATTAAAAAAAAAAAAAAGAATGCATATCATTCAGATTATAACTTTTCAGTATACCTGGCTACTAATATGTAATTAGAATACCAAGAGTTTATAAAGTCAAAACTATTACATTTTGTAAAATAAAATATGCATACATTAACAAAAATACTTTAAAATTATTTAACAATTTCCCCATGTTAGGCCTTTGGGTTGAGATTATGTGACTAAGTCTTTTATTGAGATGGAACTGCAGAAATAAGGTGTTTGAGAAGCTCTTTGCAGTTATTGAACAACTGACAGTCTTCCATTTTCTTTTGTCCATGTATAGAATAAACTTAGGGTAAACTCTAAAAGGTAGTGTGAGACACATGCCTGTGCAAAAACAATTCTACATAATGTTTCCTTGTGAATCAACAATTAAGGCAAACATATCAATATGATCTTTCTGCTGCCTTGGTTACTCACCTAAAAAAGATGGTCAAAACTGAAAATTTTGAAAAGGGAAGGGGTTGGTGAGTAGAAAATGGAACACCTGGCTATTAGGTAACTACTCCTTCCAGAAACACTCTCTGCATTATGAAATATCTATTTGCTGAATTCCAACCTTTAGAATTATACTGAATGCCAAAATGAATACTTTAAAACTCTCAATGCTATTCTAACAAACTTCAGATGTATCCAGTGTTGGAATTTGATGGCATTAATTAAGAATTTATTGAGTCATAATAAGAATGTAAAATAAATATTGGTTCCAAATAAGAGTGTAAAAGAAAACCTCACATAAGTTTCCAGGCCCACAAAGAAAGATTTCTTTTAGCTAAACTATATACGATAACATGTGAAACCATAACTTACAACATGAATTTCATAAAAGAGAAAAGTGTCACATTGGATTTTTTCTAACATAAAAATCAGTTCTTTAAATAGTTCTCATTTCTTTAAGTTATATAAAAAACATTTTCTTATACAGAATATATAGATGATAATTCTGATGTTAATATAATGTAATTTTCAATTAAAATATAAAATTTAGCAAATATTTTCTTTTGCTCACAGGAAAAATGAATTCTAGTTTCCTCATATTAAGACATTATTTCATTAGTGTAAGACATGAATTGTTACTATTCTTCAGTCTTTCCTGAATCTTGTTCAGCCCTGGGAAAATCTGCTTCATACTTCTTTTTGAGATTACTTAAATATGTTCGTAAACTGTCTGGATCCAATTGAGAGTTTCGAGCAGTTTGAACAAGTCTAGTAGCTAGATGGTATACAGCTCTCTGTCTTTCCATCTCAGGGGTACTCCTTTGGTTTTGCTGTTATCGAAAAAAATATAGATAAAAATTAAAATATGATTCTTATTTTGGGAATATTCTATCTCCTTTCATAATAAGAATTCAATGGTTAACCAATTTTTTTGGATAAGTCAGTCCCATCCAACTAGGGGGAAATAAATATTATTTTGGAGAATAAAATTTCTCATGAGTATTTACTACGTTATGACAGATCCTTATTCCTTGAAAACCATTTTTCAATGAAAAAAAATCTGCTAAATGGTTCAAGTTTCTCAATACAACACCAGAAAGTAATAGAAAATCCACCAGAATTATGTCTTACAAACACTTTATCATTGAAAAGTTATGGGAAAATAACATTCTGCTCATTACTATGTAGTGTTCATAATTTTAAATGTCACTCAGAGTACTACTCTGCTATCTCCTACTTTAATTCCCCAGCAGATAAACTGGGGGACAGAATGGGTCATCAGTAAACTGTCGCTCAAGAGAGTTCATATATAGAAATTGCTAGAGTCTAAAAGAAAATACTGCTTCAGGGGTAAATTACATTTTAAAAATAAGCAATATAAATAGCTAGTTAAAATTATCCCTTAATTCTTAACAAATTATACTTAAGGATACCCAAGAAATAATGCTTAAAATGGGACGCTTCTAATACTTTGGAAGACCTTTGGATATTCAGTCCTTGAATACCTCCCTTCAAGGTTGGGAGTACAACTAGAAAATTCTTCATTCACTTTTTTGCCTGAGCTAGATAGAGGAATCAGCATTTTTTCAATCTTAGCTTTTTATGTAAAGACTTAGTTTCTGTTCTCTAAGGGAAGTACAATCCTTTCAACTCCTTCTAAATAGCCAGGAATTTTAGGTAGCCAGGAACTCCTCAATAGCCAAGAATTCTCTCTCTTACTGTCACTATAGAAAAACTGCATACAACTCCATGAGATAGAACATTGATCCATCCATCTATCTGATATACTGAATGATCAACTATCCATTTATCATTTAAACAATAATTATAGCTATTATTATCTATATTCCAGACCCCATAAATTGTATTTACGACTACAGGGGATACAAAAATGTCACCCTAAAATGACAATGGAACTCAAAAACCTCAATCTTACACTGAAACATACACATTTACAAGCAATTGATTAATCTTGAAAAGTTCCATAAGGGAGATACAAAAATATTCAGAGGAAAGAAAATTCACTTCCAGTTTGGGTCAAGAAAGGCTTCAGTAGGATGGAGTATGGGTAGACATTCCTTTCTCTAGGGGCTATTTCCAACCTACATTGTAGGCAGATTCTTTACTGTCTGGGTCACCAGGGAAGCCCTATTTAAAATGAATCTTCGAGAGAACAGCATTGAAACATGTATATTATCTAGGGTGAAACAGATCACCAGCCCAGGTTGGATGCATCAGACAAGTGCTCGGGCCTGGTGCACTGGGAAGACCCAGAGGGATTGGGTGGAGAGGGAGGTGGGAGGGGCGATCAGGATGGGGAATACATGTAAATCCATGGCTGATTCATGTCAATGTATGACGAAAACCACTACAATATTGTAAAGTAATTAGCCTCCAGCTAATAAAAATAAATGAAAAAATAAATAAATAAGTAAAATTAATCTTGATGGGTAGAAGAGCCTAGAAGGAAAGATATTCCAGATGGAGGAAACAGAGAGAGCAAGCACATTAGAAAATGTGGTACACAATCAGGTCAAAATGATGAAATGACAAGTAACTCAATGTGGCAGAAATGTAGAAAAGGGGGGGAAACCTACTGCATAGTACTAATGAGATGTAATTAAGAAGAAGAATTCATAGACTCTTAAGCATCCATGGGAGATATGAAAGTGAAGAGAAGAAAAGGATTTTCAAAAGATGAGAAATTTAATCTTGGACCTATTGAAGAGAAAATATAAGTTAAGGTTTTAAGAAGAAATATGGAGAAAAATATAAGGATTGAGTCAAAAAGAAATGAAAGTGGAAGCTGAGGAAAGGATGAGAATCACCAAGAGTATAGAATTCTAGACAAAGAAATGGTAAAATCTTAGAAATACTTCTATTTGGTAGATGGAATAATAGAAAGCACCAGTGAAGAAGGGAAAGAAGTAATCACCAAAGAGGTAGAAATATGAGAATTACTCAGTAAAATATTCAGCTAAAGGGAGGTTATATTAATTTGCAGTGGATAAAACTAGCCTGTCTTGAGTATATTTTGAGCAGCATCAGGAAATCTAAAAACTGGAAGACTACTGGAGAGGTTGCCCATAATTGGAATTTGGCAAGAGGAATTCTGAAGAACTAGGTAATAAGAGGCTCTTCAGAACTGGACCACTGCCAAAATCACTGGTGAAAAATTTCAATGGAATAACTAGGCAAGTAAAGTCATAAAAGCAGTTGAGGTCTAAAGACTGATGGATGTAAAAAAAAAAAACTGAAGGCAGGTTAAGAATGAGTAAATGATAAAAGAAAGGTTAATAGTGAAGAAAATTTATACTGCACCTAATCTAGTTTACTGAATATGATGGATTCTTAAAACAATATAAAGCAACCCGATGCAAAAAAAAAAAAAGATTTCCAAATTTTCAGTTACCAGATTAAATTCAGTGTTGGATCTACTGCTTCCTAGCAAATCACTTAATCTCTGTGAACCTCAGCTGTAAAAATGTAAGTAAAAATGATAACTTTATTATTTATCTTTAATTAAACCTAACTACTTCATAAAGAATTATGAGGCTTCTATATGATAGTGAATACAAGAGCTTTGAAAACTATTTTAAAAGATATGAAATGTTGTGCATGGTATTTCTTTCTTTGTTTTTTTTTTTTTTTTTTTTTGGCTGTGCCAAATCTTAATTGCAGCATGTGGAACCTTTAGTGTGGCATGTTGGGATCTAGTTTCCTGACTAGATCAAGCCCAGGCCCCCACATTGGGACTGTGGAGCCTTAATCATTGGACCACCAGAGAAGTGCCATGATTTTTATTTTTAATGCTTATTTAAAGAGATTTCTTTTCTTATCATAAAGTCAGTGTAGCAATAAGGACTAGAGGAACTGAACTGTTAACTTTTGTCTCCTATCTTATTAGTAGATTTTCTAGGGACAGTTATAATACATCAAACCAAAAAAGTTTTGAGAAGTAAAAGGATTTCCTTTATTTAGGAAATAGGTTTTTGTTTTAAATGTTTTAATTATTCCTTATTATATCTTTAGATCCAAGATCATAATAAACATGTACACTAAAAGTATTTTCTTAATTTGAAAAATAATTCTTATTGCTAAAATTTCCTTACCAAAATCTGCCTGGTAATTTGAGTTGTGATGTCTTTGGCATCCAAGACAATTGATGGTGGGAGTGATGACACCTCTGCAGCTTTTAATCCTAAAATTATAAACAATGGGACTTCAATATTATTACTTGTAGTTTTGCTATGTTTGTTTTAATCAGTATTAATCTTTTCTTCACAGATTTAAACATCCTTTCTTAGGCATTTATGAACTACTTCTTAAAATTAAGTTTCCAAGTTCTGAGTGACAATTTACCAATTATTAGATTTAATTACTTGCTAAGACATGTAAGACAAATTAGAATATCAATTACCTCTCAAGATACCTCTGAGACAGAAAACATGAAAGGGAAAGGAAAAAGGTAATTAGAAAATCAGATAATAGTAGTAACATTGAAATTCCAACTACAAATTCAGTTGGTTTATAACTCAAAGGACATAATGGGTTTTGCAGGATAGAAGAAAGTGTAGTCACAGATAAGCTTACAGCTGAGTATTCATATATTTAGTAGATCAATGAAAGAGGAATTTCTCAGAAGTCATAACGGTAGGTGACTACTCCATGGAAATTCAAATACCAGTAATATTCTCATGCTCTTAGATTTTTATTGTATCAGTGTCTCATAGATTTTCTATTATATGCTAATAGTTTATTTATTGCTTTAGAGGCAATAGAAGCAACATCAACATTTATTTAGAAGTTACTAACTGCTAGGCACTGTGGTAACCAGTTTATATTTGATAATTCATTTAATCCTTACAAATCCACATATATCACCATTTAATAGATGAAGCTGAGGCTTATAAAGATTAAACATCTGATACAAATTAAGTTATACATTTGATTTTCCCATTTCAAATAGCAAAGCAAAGATGCTTTTTTCACTCTCACAAAGAACAGTCGTAGCTAAAATAATTTTGGGAAATTTATCTGTAAAAGTCCAGTTTGTGGGTCGTCTGCATGGCGACTCTATAGTGGGGCTAATGGCAACTTTCTCCAAGAGGGCTTATGCCATACACTATGCCTCTCAGGTCTGCTGTAGCCAGAGCCCTTCTACCTGGGGCTATCCCATTGTCACTGCTATCCCATTCTTCCTCAGCAGACACTCAAACACTCAAAAAGCAGGTCTGACTCAGTTTCTTGTGGAAGTCGCTGCTCCTTTTCCTGGGTTCTGGTACGTACAAGGTTTGTTTACTCCCTCCAAGTCTCTCTGGCGAGTCTGAGATTTGATTTTAAAACATGATTGCATCCCTCTTGCCGTCTTGTTTGGGCTTCTACTTTGCCCTTGGATACAGGATATTTTTTTTGGTGGGATCCAACATTCTCCTATAGATGGTTGTTCAGCAACTAGTTGCAATTTTGGTGTTCTCACAGGAAAAGATGAGTGCAGTTCTTTCCACTCCACTATCTTCAGTTCAGTACAGTTCAGTTATTCAGTCATGTCCAACTCTTTGTGACCCCATGAACTGCAGCACACCAGGCGTCCCTGTCCATCACCAACTCCTGGAGCCTACCCAAATGCATGTCCACTGAGACGGTAATGCCATCCAACCATCTCATCCTCTGTCATCCCCTTCTCCTGCTCTCAATCTTTCCCAGCATCAGGGTCTTTTCAAATAAGTCAGCTCTTCGATCAGGTGGCCAAAGTACTGGAGTTTCAGCTTCAACATTAGTCCTTCCAATGAACATCCAGGACTGATTTTCTTTAGGATGGACTGGTTTGATCTCCCTGCAATCCAAGGGACTCTCAAGGGTCTTCTCCAACAACACAGTTCAAAAGCATCAATTCTCCGGTGCTTAGCTTTCTTTATAGTCCAACTCTCACATCCATACATGACCACTGGAAAAACCATAGCCTTGACTAGATGGATCTTTGTTGAAAAGTAATGTCTCTGCTTTTTAATATGCCATCTAGGTTGGCCATAACTTTCCAAGGAGTAAGCATCTTTTAATTTCATGGCTGCAACCACCATCTGCAGTGATTTTGGAGCCCAAAAAAATAAAGTCAGCCACTGTTTCTACTGTTTCCCCGTCTATTTGCCATGAAGTGATGGGACCGGATGCCATGATCTTAGCTTTCTGAATGTTGAGCTTTAAGCCAACATTTTCACTCTCATCTTTCACTTTTATCAAGACGCTCTTTAGTTCTTCACTTTCTGCCATAAGCGTGGTGTCATCTGAATATCTGAGGTTATTGATATTTCTCCCAGCAATCTTGAATCCAGCTTGTGCTTCATCCAGCCCAGTGTTTCTCATGATATACTCTGCCACTATGTTAGATTTAGATTATACCAAAGAAGTTCTCGCACTGTTGCACAGTTCTAGGGCCCACAACAGATTTCCTAAACTGGGAACCTGGCAAAGGGCCCGAGAACCGGAATTTGACTTTGAAAGCCAGAGGGATTTGATAACAAAACTTCCAAAGGACTGGGGAAACAGACTCTTCGAGGGCACAACAAAACCTTGTGTGCACCAGGACCCAGGAACAGGAGCAGTGACCCTGCAAGAGGCTGAACCAGACTTGCCTGTGAGTGTTCAGTCTCTGATGGAGGTATGGGTCAACTGTGGCCTGCCACAAGGTCAGGGGCACTGACCACAACAGTCCTGGGAGCTGCATTGTACTGGGATAAGTCCTTAGAAGGAGGTCACCATTACTGCCATTACTCCTGCAATAGTTTGGTGTGAGGCCAAACTATGGGAGGGACCACAACCACACCACATCAGCAGAAAATTGGATTAAAGATGTACTGAGGATGGTGCCACCCATCAGAGCAAGACCCAGTTTTCCACACAGGGAGTCCCTCCCATCAGGAAGTTTCCACAAACCTCTTATTCTCATCCATCAGAGGGCAGACAGAATGAAAACCATAATCACAGGAAACTAACCAAACTGGTCACATGGATCACAGACTTGTCTAACTCAATGAAACTATGAGCCATGATGCATAGAGCCACTCAAAGTAGACAGGTCATGGTGGGGAGTTCTGATAAAATGTGGTTCATTGGAGAAGGGAACGGCAAACCATTTAAGCATTCTTGCCTTGAAACCCTGAGAACAGTATGAAAAGGCAAATATATGACACTGAAAGATGAACTCCCCAGGTCAGGAGGGCCCAATATGGTACTGGAGAAGAGTGAGAAATAGCTCCAGAAGGAATAAAGAGGCTGAGCCAAAACAGAAACAACGCCCAGTTGTGGCTGTGTCTAGAGGTGAAAGTAAAGTCTAATGCTGTAAAGAACAATATTGCTTAGGAATCTGGAAAGTTACGTCTGTGTTTCCAGGTAAATTGGAAGTAGTCAAACAGGAACTAGCAAGAGTGAACATTGACATTTTAGGAATCAATGAACTAAAATGGACTGGAACGGGTGAATTTAATTTAGATGACAATTACATCTACTGCTGTGGCGAAGAATCCCTTAGAAGAAATAGAGTAGCCCTCATAGTCAACAAGAGAGTCGAAAATGCAGTACTAGGGTGCAATCTTAAAAATGACAGAATGATCTCTGTTCACTTCCAAGGCAAACCATTCAATATCACAGTAATCCAAGTCTTTGCCCCAACCACTAATGCCAAAGAAGCTGAAGTTGAGTAGTTCTATGAAGACCTACAAGACCTTCTAGAACTAACACCCAAAAAAGATATCCTTTTCATAATAGGGGACTGGGATGCAAAAGTAGGAAGTGAAGAGATACCTGAGTAACAGGCAAGTTTGGCCTTGGAGTACAAAATGAAGCAGAGCAAAGGCTAACAGAGTTTTGCTGAGAGAAAGCACTGGTCATAGCAAACACTCTCTTCCAACAAAACAAGAGACAAGTCTACATGTGAAAATCACCAGATGGTCAATTCCAAAATCAGACTGATTATATTCTTTGTTGCTGAAGGTGGAGAAGCTCCATATAGTTAGCAAAAACAAGACTGGGAGCTGATTGTGGCTCAGATAATGAATTGTTAATTGCAAAGTTCAGACTTAAACTGAGGAAAGTAAGGAAAAATCACTAGGCCATTCAAGTATGACCTAAATCAAATCCCTTACAATTATACAGTGGAAGTGACAAACAGATTCAAGAGATTAGATCTGATAGACAGAGTGCCTGAAGAATATTATACAGGAGGCGGTGATCAAAACTATTCCCAAGAAAAAGAAATGATAAAAGGCAAAATGGTTGTCTGAGGATGTCTTACAAATAGCTGAGAAAAGAAGAGAAGTGAAAGGCAAAGGAGGAAAGGAAAGATATACCCATCTGAATGCAGAGTTCCAAAGAATAGCAAGGAGAGATAAGAAAGCCTTTATCAATGCAAATAAATGGATGAAAACAAAATGGCAAAGCAGCAGAGATCTCTTTAAGAAAATGAGAGATACCAAGGGAGCATTTTGTGCAAAGATGGGCACAATAAAGGACAGAAATGGTATGGACCTAACAGAAGCAGAAGATATTAAGAAAAGGCGGCAAAAATACATAAAAAACTACACAAAAAAGATCTTAATGACCTAGATAACCACAATGGTGTGATCACATACCTAGAGGAAGCATGTTAGAGTGCGAAACCAAGCGGGCTTAGGAAGCATTACTACGAACAATGCTAGTGGAGGTGATGGAATTCCAGCTGGGCTATTCCAAATCCTCAGAGATGATGCTGTGAAAGGGTTGCACTCAATATGCCGGCAAATTTGGAAAACTCAGCAGTGGCCACAGGACTGGAAAAGGTCAGTTTTCCTTCTAATCCCAAAGAAGGGCAGTGCCAAAGAATGTTCAAACTACAACACAATTGCACTCATCTCACATGCTAGCAAAGTAATGCTCAAAATTCTCCAAGCTAGGTTTCAACAGTATGTGAACCGAGAACTTCCAGATGTTCAAGTTGGATTTAGAAAAGGCAGAGGAACCAGAGATCAAACTGCCAACATCCACTGGATCATAGAAAAAGCAAGAGAATTCCACAGAAACATTGACTTCTGCTTCATTGACAAGGGTAAAGTCTTTGTGTGGATCACCTTACATGCCTCCTGAGAAATCTGTATGTAGGTCAAGAAGCAACAGGTAGAACCAGACATAGAACAATGGACTGGTTCCAAATTGGGAAAGGAGTACATTGAGGCTGTATACTGTCTCCCTGCTTATTTAACCTATATACAGAGTAAATCATGCAAAATGCTGGGCTGGATGAAGCACAAGCTGGAATCAAGTTTGCCAGAAGAAATAGCAAAAACCTCAGATATGCAGATGACACACCCTAGTGGAAGAAAGCTAAGAGGAACTAAAGACCCTCTTGATGAAGGAGAAAGGAGAGTGAAAAAGCTGGCTTAAAATTCAACATTCAGAAAACGAAGATCATGGTGTCTGGTCCCACCACTTCTTGGCAAACAGATGGGGAAACAATGGGAACAGTGAGAGACTTTATTTTCTTGGGCTCCAAAATCACTGAAGATGGGGACAGAAGCCATGAAATTAAAATACATTTGCTCCTTGGAAGAAAAGCTATGACAAACCTAGACAGCATGTTAAAAAACAGAAACACTAATTTGCCAACAAAGGTCTGTATATTCAAAGCTATGGTTTTTCAGTAGTCATGTATGGATGTGAGAGTTGGACCATAAAGAAGGCTGAGCTCTGAAGAATTAATATTTTTGAACAGTGGTGTTAGAAAAGACTCCTGATAGTCCCCTGGACTGCAAGGAAATCAAACCGGTCAATCCTAAAGGAAATCAATCCTGAACATCCATTGGAAGGACTAATGCTGAAGCTGAAGCTCCAATACTTTGGCCATCTGATAAGAAGAGCCAACTCACTAGAAAAGACCCTGATGCTGGGAAAGACTGAAGGCAGAAGGAGAAGGGGATGATAGTGGACGAGATGGTTGGATGGCATCACCGACTCAGTGGATATTAGTTTGAGCAAGCTCCAGGAGACGGTGAAGGACAGGGAAGTCTGGTGTGCCGCAGTCCATAGGTCATGAAGAGTCAGACATGACTGAGCGACTGAACAACAACAAATGTAAAAGTCAACTGAAAATTCCCTGAATCTGTCAACTTTACATGTATCATAATGATTTAGATAGAAAATATCTAACCAATTTTATGAACACATAATTTGGTAACACATTCCATTTTAAGACTTAAGATTTAACTATCAAGTTCTCCAAATTTGAAGAAAACAGAGGAAGGACATTGTTACTAAAAGAGTGTCTAAGAAATATATACATTCCAATTCAGTATATAACTTTCAAGTATAACTAAATTACATTTTCCTAAGTATAGAAACTATACTTCTGGGGCTTGCACGTATTATAATTCTACATAGTTACTGTTAATATGTTTTTGAAACAAGCTTAATACATAAAAATGTGAATTTGACATAGAAAATACAGTCTTAGAGCATATAAGCATTCAAAAGAATGAAAGATAAAATTGCTTAGACTGATAGTCAAATAAACAGGAAAGAAAGTTTATCTTATGAGAATATACAGTATTTCAGCATATACACACATGTATATACACATATATATATAGTATACACATATAAAATTTCTATATGCATACCATAATTTTTTTCTTCTGTGAGTCCGTTAGAAAGTTTGTAGGTATACAAGATTGCTTCCTTATTTCTTGAAGTGTTCTTTACATGCTGAACTTCAAAATGCACGTTTTCTACATTAGGATACAGAACATCTATCTGGCACAGTTCCAGGAAATGTGTAGCAAACAGTGTAAATGCCTAGAATATATAATGAATATCAGTATTTTTAAATGCACTAGAAATTTTTATTTTAACTATTTAAACATAGAATTTATTTTAACTTATTAATTAGCTTCGCAGAAATGTAATGAAACTGGTGAACTTTGAGGCTAACGTGGTCAACTCATCTTAAAATGTTTTGAAATTTTATATTCAATGAGGGAAACACTTATGATGTTTACACAAACACATGTATGTTACATTATGGAAAAGAGAATAAATGCAAAAATCCTCAAACAAAGAATGTGAAGATATTGAAAGGATGAAGTTTACCAGAAATATAGCTATTAACTGAGGTAATCATTTATTAGAGAAGTTACCCACAAACAAAATCATAACATTTTCCTCACTTTAAAAAAACTTTACTTTAAAAGTAAATTCCTCCCATATAAGTAGTTTAGGGAAAGTGAAATCAGTGAATTATCTTAGGTATTTGAAACTGCATAGGTTTTTGCTTTTATATCTGTATTATCTTAGGGTTAGGTACTTATACAGGGGGAATAAAAGGTTGAGAACACTGCTTAGTACAATGATTCTTCAAGTTTAGTAATCCCCTGGGGAGCTTGTTAAAGATGCAAATTATTGATGCTTATCCCCCTCACATTCTCAATCAGCAACTGTAACTTAGGGCCCCAGGAAATTGCATTTTCCCTAAGCACTTTAGGTGATTTTGATGGAGATGGTTCAAGTGACTTAAGACCAGCACAGTGGCTTCCTGCCCTGTGTTCAGAGTTCCTGAAGCAGATATGACTAATTATGTTTTAAGACACCAGTGAGAAATGAAATATATGATTAGTGGAAATTTTAAATAGTAAAACATTAAGAAGAAAATATTCGACTGGCAAATGACTATCAGTTATGGAAAGGAGTTAGCAAGGGGAGGAGTGGTTCTGTGTATGACAGAAAAATATGTAATAAATCTCAACTACTAAATCAAAAGGGGGTATAAAACAAACAAAATTTATAAAGCAACAGGAGAATTTTTTCTTTGAAATTTATTTTTGGCCGTGCTGGGTCTTCATTGCTGCCTGTGGGCTTTCTCTGGTTGTGGTGAGCGGGAGCTACTCTCTAGTTGCCGTGCACAGGTTTCTCGCTGCAGTGGCTTCTCCTGTTTCAGAGTATGGGCTCTAGTGTGCATAGGCTCGGAAGGTGCAGTGCACGGCCTTAAGTCATCTTGCAGCATGTGGAATCTTCCCAGTCCAGGGATCAAACCCATTCTCCCTGCACTGGCAGTCAGATTCTTAACCACTAGAACACCAGGCTAGTCCCAAGAAAAGATTTAGAAACCCAGTAAACTATTTAGAAGCTAGAGACAATGTTCATAATAACAATTATGTCCTCAAATTTTATGCATGCATATTCAGTTGCTCAATCGTGTCTAACTCTTTGTGACCCCAAGGACTGTAGCCCTCCAGGCTCCTCTGTCCATGGAATTTTCCAGGCAAGAATACTGGAGTGGGTTGCCTTTTTCTACTCCAGGGGATCTTCCCGACCCAGGGATCAAACCCACATCTCTTGTGTCTCTTGCATTGGCAGGTGGATTCTTTACCACTGTGCCTCCTGGGAGGCTCATACTATTAATCAGATACATGCAAATTAAAGAAATTGTGAGGTATCATCTTAAAGATACTACAATATCTTTTTTTTATTAAGACAGTAAATTTGGTTCCCTCATCATTGCTGATGGCATTATAAACTGCAACAGCCTTTTGGAAAGTAGCATTGTGGCCTGTTTAATCAGACCCTCTGGCTTTATCACCTCGACTTTGCTGCCTGCTCTAAGAAATGCCAGCCTGTTGACAGCAACCCTGGTCTTGGGTCCTGCTCTGCACACATCCTCGACCAGATGAATCCTCACACTTTTCCTGTGACATACTCGTATTTCACCCTCTGTAAGAGGGGCTTTTATGTCCTCGTCTATCAAATTTCATATATCAAATCAATCTAATAACTCCATAAATTATATTTCAAGTTAATTTGATTTAACAAATAATTATTCAGAAACTTTATATTGCAAAAACTGTACTAGGCAGTAAAGATACTAGGTTAGGAAAACAATAATTAACTTTAAGCTCCTTAAAAGTAAGTAGCAGTAATTATATTTTTACTAGTAAGCCAGCTGCTTCAGGATAGTGGAGAACGTAAGACAAGTGAATCCCATGGACATGAGCCCACAGCACTGCATTTGCTATGAAATGAGTTCCTTAATCAGAAGCAGTTCTGTGGTTCTGTGTGGAATATCATGACAGTGGATAAAGCATTCTGTTAGGTTCATGGGTGGCAGTTTTTGCAGAAGTCATACATTCAGGGAAGGCAAATCTGTATCCAGCATAAGTATCCCAGTCCAGTAAGAACAAACTGCTGCCCCTTTCACAGTGGAAGTGGTCCAACATAGTCAACCCGCCAACAGGCAACAGGCTAATCACCTCGGGGAATGGCAATGTATCAGAGGCTCAGTTTTGGTCACTGCAGCTGACAGACTGGGCACTCAGGGATGGCTGTGGCCAGGCTGGCCACAGTGAGTAGAAATCTATGTTGCCGAGCCTATGGATAACCTCCATCCATGCCCTGTGGCACTTTGTCCATGAGCCTATTGGTGATGGCAGGGTGGCTAGGGAAAGAGGCTGACTGGTATCCATAGAACAAGTCACCCTATTTACTTGATTATTAAAATTCTCTTCTCCTGAGGCCAATCTTTGGTGAATATTCACATGAAATAAATATCTTTACTTTTTTTTTTTACCTATTCCAAGAGATTTATCCACATTCCTCTTCTCCAAATATCCTTGCCACCAGTTTTCTAAAAATGTTCCTTTGAAGTCTCAGCCAGACCACTGGCCACAGCCCATGAATTTATATATACTCACATATCTGGCCATTTCTCGTTACAAGCAAAATGAACAACCAGGTACAATGCTTGAAGTTTTGCCCAATCAGACAAGTTTCCTTTACCAGTGCTCTTTGGGGACTAGAAAGGGACTATAGTACTAGAGCTGTTCACTTTTAGATGACATCTGCATGTCATGCAAAACCATCTGTAAACAAGGCAATTCTCCTCCCCTGTCAGCTCTCTAAGAGGCAACTGGTACAACGTGAGAAAGAGAAAGCAGTGTAGCAGGAGTGAGCAGTTGGGCCATTTCTTCATGTAAGTTACTTGTGACTTCAGGGCCTCTCTGGTCCAATCGAGTATATACCCCTTCCATTTGATGATGGAGTGCTGCTGTGCATGCCCAACTTTAACATCCAGCTCATAATGGGCAGCTCAGGTCACATGATAATTTGGTGGCCTGTGGTTAATCGTTCAGTCTCTACTAAGGCACAGAAGCTGGCTATAAGCTGTTGCTCAAAAGAAAAGTAGTTATCTACAGAGGATGGCAGAGCTTGCTCCAAAGTCCTAATGCCCTGTGCTGCAATTCACCTACAAACAACCTGTCAAAGAGTCCAAACAGCACCTCTGTATGTCACTGACACTTCAGACACTACTGGATCTGCTTGATCATATGGCCTAAGTAGAAGAGCAGCTTGCAAGGCTGAACCTGTTGCAGACTACAAGGTCACTTGGTAAATGGGCTGAAGTAACACATCCAAAGAAGAAATAGGTTGCCTCTAAAATCCAAAGAGGGTGACAATGCATTTTGTGTCTCTTTAGAGGGACCAGATTTAACAACTTATCTTCCACCTTAGAAGTGATATCTCAACATGCCCCACACCACTCAACTCCCAGATATTTCACTGAGGAAGAAGGCCCCTGTACTTTTTTCTTTTTAAAAACTGTTTTAAATTGAAGCATAATTAATTTATATATAAGAGATAGGGATGGGAGAGATGGGAATACCAGACCATCTAATCTGTCTCCTGAGAAACATGTATGAGGGTCAAGAAGTAACAGTTAGAACCCTATATGGAACAACTGATTAATTCAAGATCAAGAAAGGAGTATGACAGAGCTGTCTGCTGTCACTCTGTTAAACCTATATGCTAAGCACACCATGAGAAATGCCGGGCTGGATGAATTACAAGATAGGCGGGAGAAACATCAACAGCAACAGATATGTGGATGATACCACTCTAACAGCAGAAAGCGAAGAACCAAAGAGCCTTTTGATGAGGGGAAGAAGCAGAGTGAAAGAGCCAGCTTAAGACTAAATATTAAAAAAACTAAGATCATGGCATCTGGCTCCATTATTGCATGGCAAATGGAAGAGGAAAAGGTGGAAGTAGTGATTTCCTCTTCTTGGGCTCCAAAATCACTGCAGACAGTGACTGCAGCCATGAAATCAGAAGACTAGTGCTTCTTGGCAGGAAAGCGATGACAAACCTAGACAGTGTGCTGAAAAGCAGAGACATTATTCTGCCGACAAAGGTCCACATAGTCAAGGTTATGGTCTTCCCAGTGGTCATGTGTGGTTATGAGAGCTGGACTGTAATGAAGGCAGAACACCAAAGAATTGAGGCCTTTGAACTGTGGTGCTGGAGAAGACTCCTGAAAGTCCCTTAGACAGCAAGATCAAACCAGTCAATATTAAGGGAAATCAATCCTGAATATTCACTGGAAGGACTGATGCTGAAGCTCCTGTATTTTGACCATCTGATGAGAACAGATGACATTGGAAAAGTCCCTGATGCTGGGAAAGATGGAGGGCAGAAGAAGAAGAGGATGTCAGAGGATGAGATGGCTGGACAGCATCACTGACGCAATGAACATGAACTTGGGAAAATGTCAGGAGATGGTGAGGGGCAGGGAGGCCTGGTGTGCTGCAGCCCATGGGGCTGCAAAGTGTGGGACACGACTGGGCAACTGAACAACGACAACAATAATTTACAGTGTTGCATTAGTTTCAAGTGTATAGCAAAGTGATTGTATTAAACATATATATATTCAAGTATTCTTGCCTGGGAAATCCCATGGACAGAGGAACCTGGCAGGCTACAGTCCATGGGGTCACAAAAGAGTCAGACAATACTTAGTAACTAAATAT